TGGGGGGGCAAGTGTACTGGCCAGCCAAGTTGCCGACTTGTCCCTCACCAACCCATTGACTCAATCAAAGGTTTACCAGCCTGACCAAACAGTAAACTCATCATTGCCGAGTTCCTCAGCTCGGCCATGAAACATGGACATCGAAATACCACATCGGCCCAAAGAGGCCACGTCATCAAACAGATAAAAATACAATCTTGTTACCACGCCGCCTGCACGTTCTCGAGAACGAGGCGACAGTTGCAACACATGGCATCTTGACAGGTAAGCATGCGCGAAAGGTCACTCCCCTCCAGCGAGCTCGGTCTTAACTCCTCGACCTACGGTCTTCGGAGCTCAGGGGGCTAGTGTATTGTCCGTACTGCAAAGCCGAGCTCCGAGCTCGGCATCACAACGCAAGATGACCTCGAGCACGCGCTACGCGACGTCAGCTCGGCATTTAAGTAGATCATAACTGATCTCAAGGGATCTCGCTCCAGACGAGATCCCTTATCTAATCTTATCATATCTTATCTCAAGATCTTATCATATCTTATCTCAGGCCCAAGGCACAAAGCAACCCTAATTCACACTAAGGTACGTGCATTACTTATACGAGATCCATACTCCCACAAACACTAACTTTGGCATCAGAGTCTCTTTTGCAGGTACCTCCCCCATCTTGGAGCACCAATACATCAAGCAAAGGAGGCTCACCGATCTTACTGGACGGGTCACCTCTACGACCAAATTCCGGTAAGAACAATATATATATATATATAAGTATTAAATTCTTCAATAGTTTTTTTTTCGAGGGGAATTCTTCAATAGTTATATTTTATTTAATAATACATTTTTAATATAAATGAAATAATTTAAAAGGATATATGTTTAATTAATGTACATGTATCAACAATATATTTATTAAATTAATAAAATTTATATTTAACAAATATAATAATTAACACTATATAAGAAAAATGAAAGTCTACTTAAATATTTATAATCATACTATATTAATAACATCAATTAAATACTACTTTAACACTTAGATTTGATTTTTCCAAAAAAAAATATGTTTGATTTTATTTTACTCATATATATACATTTTTTAAAAAAAAATTTGATTTTTAAAATATGTTTTGTGAAAATAATTTTTTAAAATTTATTATTAAATTTATAAGAACTCATAATAGTTAATGAATTAATCACCTATACAGTGTCAGTGTAAATTTTTTTTTTACACTGGTAACCAATCAGATCTGTTAATAGTGCTATGTCATTTGCTCATTTAATTAAATTAAAATAAAAAATATACAATTAACAGATCTGATTGGTTGCCGGTGTAAAAAAAGTATATAGATGATTAGTCATAGTTAATTGTATAAGTAAAGTGACAAATCATTAAAATGTAAAATATTTGCATTTACTAAAAAGAGGAGATCATGTGAGTTTTAATGCAGTTAGGAGAAGTCCTGTAAAAAAAAAAAAAAAAAACTAAAGCACATTTAGGAGAAGTAGTGTAATGTTTGCATCAGAAATGTAGTATGAAAGGTGTTATGGTAATAATTTATTTTTAATGGAATCTAACCGAACTTTAACGATTTTTTATTTGTATTTTAAAAAGAGTAAAATGTAATATGTGAATTTAATATAAAAGATAAGAACAATGTATTTTAGTAAAATTTAATAATCGTACAGAGTAATTTAGTTTTTGAAAAGAAAACATAATTGAAGTTGATGGCCATGAGTCACATAATTGTGACCTATCATAGGACTTTATTTGCTTCACAAAGTTATATCGTCCCTGACCCTGGCCCAACATGCACGTTGCCATTCATTTTCTGCAACCACACCTCAGTCCTAGGAATCCTATGCCTACCCTCTCTTAGTTCTTACTCACTCCTCTTCCCTTCAAACTTCCACTATGCCACGTTCTATTCTATTGCATTACTGGATCATCATATTATAAACACCAACAACATATATAACATATTATATAAACATTGTACATATTTAGATTGTTAAAATATCCATCCTAATATGAAAAGGAAAAAAGAAAGAAAACATGTTTGATGTTTCTTTCCATGCCTTCTTGGCATTGAATTTAATTCATGATACCATATGACAACAAATTTAGGAATGCTATTATAACATGATATCGTAAACATGACATATATGTAGATTGCGTTAAAATATGAATCATATATGAAAAGGAAAACAAAAAGAAAGAAAATATCTTTCTTACCTGGCCACGCCTTCTTTATATTAAATTTAGTTCGTGATTAGATCACACACAAATTTGGAAGAAAAAAAAAATCAATATATCATTCGTGTGTTACGCGGTAAAATTAAATTAGAAATAATTAAAAATCTAAAATATGTTAAATTATTTTTGAATTCTATGAAGAAAATATTATAAAATTAATAAATAAAAAATAAAACATATTTATAAATTATAATACTTTTTAAAATATGATCATCTAAAGGAGATTATGTAATATATTTCAAGACAACAAATTCCGGCATTGAAGCCTATAAAGTTTCAATCGAAGAGAATTGTTCTGGTAGGTCAGTAGGGTTGGTTCGAGTAAGACAAGAAATGGGGCCAATGGTGGTTTAAAAAACAAATGGCGTAGCATTAATTGTATGATATTTCAAACAATTGTGTGCAAGTAATCAATTAATAATAGCAATTAAGCTGTCAAGGTTAATAGCAACTATTTCTCTCTTCTTCTTTTTTTTTATCCTCTGTATCGGAAAATTATACTATACCTTTAAAACCTTTGAATTGAATTAGTATATATATTTTTTTATCTACAAAAATTACAATAATCAGAATTCGACTATGCATATTACTAGAGTTTTAACGATTCATTATGTCAATTCTAGTGATTTTATTTAGTAGATTTATTAGTATATTGATGATTAATAGTAGTGATCACTTAATTTGTTCCCTTCATTATTTGATATTTTTTACGTGCTAAGGGTAGAAGAGGGGTTGAAGCTGGACTTGCTAGTTTTGGAGGTTGTTGGAAAGATATTTTCCATTTTTCCTTGCTTGCCGGTGAATGTCAATTACCAAGTAAAACTTTGAGATAGACATATATGTAAGTGTGTGTTCATATATAAAACTAATACTTAAAGTTAACATGTCGTTTAAGAGATGAATTCCACTGGAAGCAATTTTGTGTTGTTATTATGGTTTGTAACTGGGTATTTTATATAAGCGTGAAACATGAGGGTGATTGGTTTGAAATAGTGTACGTGATCATGATCTGGTGCCATTGAGGCATTGACCCACATTGTTCATTGGGATACCCTCTCTTTGCCTTCTTCTCTGTTACGGATTGAAGCGAATCCATCTCCACGCACCCTTATTGGAGCGTGCATGACTGCTTCAGCATGTTAATGATTGCTTTGCCATTTTAATTACCATTCTCTAGCTCACAACTCTCATAGTCACATCACATAAGGAAAGGCCTCTTTAATTTGCCTTCTGCTCTTAAATATGTAGTCAAGATTTTATGTGCTTTCATATCTTTCTTTCACTCTCCATTGGAATATTATTTATCTTAAGTAAGAAAATGCTTTAATTTCTATGTATTTTTATTATAAAAATTTTAAACAGTTAATTAATAAAAAAAAGTTACATAATATCCCTTTTAAAATGATTACTGATTAGTATAATAATTCATTAGTCACATTTTTTGTAACGAGACTTTTACTGTATTACTCTATAATTTATTTATCAATTATTTTTTTGAGTAAAAATCCTACTACCATCCAAATTCCAAACAAAAATCAATATATATGATCAGTTTTTTTTTTTTTTTTTTTTTAGATTAAGGGTAAATAAGCTATCTAATCACAAAATTATCACAAACTCTACAACGAAAATTATCTCATACTCTTAACTTTACCATAGCCATCTTTGCCAACATTTGTTAAGGAAAACATACATACAATGATACAAAACTTCATATGCAGCAGAAGTCAACAAAACAACAATCAAAACTCACCCTTGAGAGAGATAGATGGATTGAGAGACACCCTTTAATGCTTGCTTTTACTACTGAGACACCGAAGGTGGCCCTCCATCTATATTTCTAGTTTTTGTACCTTTCCTTCTTCCATTACTATTCTCTCTCTTCTTTTTCTTCTTCTTTTTTTTTTTTTTTTTTCAAACATAAGTGAGCTGATTCTGTGTTTTTCTAATAGGATCTTTGAGGCCAAACCCCATTTCAATCAACCCTGTATTCTCTCTTACTACCTTGAATTTTCTCTATTCTTTCTGTGCAATACTGCAACCTTTATTCTTATAGAATTGATGTCTGGTTTGTACAATCAAATATCTTCACCTTCAACTAGGGCCAATTCACCAAACATAAACATGAGAAGCAATTTTGATGTTGAAAGGTAAACGGATTGGGGTGATTATTCTGTAATTTGTTGTGAAACCGAAAATTTTGATTTTTTAGGTACCTATGTTATATGTATACCTATATGTTTGAGGTCAGGACTTGAATTAACTTTTTTCTGGGTGGGTGTTTGTTCTTATTCATGTTTTTTATAGTCAGTACTTAACGGAGCTGCTAGCAGAACACCAGAAGCTTGGACCTTTCATGCAAGTCTTACCCTTGTGTACTAGGCTCTTAAATCAAGGTTGGTTATTATAAATCTATGTATCATAAAGTTTTAAATTGTGGTTGCGATTGCGATTTTTCCATGATCCTTGACATTGCGGGAAATTATGGAGAAATACAGCTGATACAGTCACAACTGCAGCCAGGAGAGTAAAAAATAGTTTTGATGTTGCTGTCTAAATCGCAGTCGCTGGCCAATTTTAAAACCTTCCAAGGTTTCTGTAGTTGAGAATTTCCTCTTTTTGTTGTTCTATTGGTTTCAACTTATCTCACCTCATTTCAAGTGAATTTGGCCTAGTCATTAACCCAGTTTTCTGGCTACTTGGACTAGTATATCTCATTTTCCTTTTGTTTTGAGGATTATTATCTACTTCAAATTGCAATGAATTGTCAAGTTATGATCTTGTCACCTGGTTGAAGTATAGTAAATTTACTGGTTGATGCTAAACTCTGTCATCGCTGATAAAATAATAATTGCTAAAGGAATTAGAAATCTATATTGTTGAACAAAATACATGTGAGTGGAAACCAGATTGGTCTCCTGTATGTGACCAAAGCAAACTTCAACATGGTTCTATAGAATTTCTATCTGTTGATAAATTCATGAAAGGGAATCAATCATATTAGTTGGTGAGTTTCAGATAATCGAAAAGAAAGAATGAACAAAATGCAGGGAGGAAAACAATCCTTAAAGGGTCCTAAATGATGGTCTCCACATCAATATGTGTCTATATAATTATCTCTGTTCATTTTCAAACAAATAACAGAATGTTTAGTTTGATTGAAGATATACTCCACTACAGTAAAACTGTAAAAGAAATAAAGTATGCATCTTCTTTTGGATGGATAGAGCAAACTTTAACCGATCAGCTTTACTATTAAATATTAATGCTTGATAGAACCTTTTGTTTCATTTTCATGGTTTGAATTGTAAGTGTTTGCAGTTTGCTAGTACCCCTTCATGTTCATATTTGACACCTTACAATAGGAAGGTATCTTCCTTTATACTCGTTCTTACATTCAGTGTTACTTTATTATCAGAGATTTTAAGGGTTTCTGGAAAGAATGGATTGATGCAGAACCAAGGGTTTGGTGACTACGACAGAGTGCAGTTCGGAAGCCCCAAACCCAATCTCATGCCTTCTTTAGACATACAACCAAATTTTACAGGCTGGAACAGCTTATCACATGAAGTAAGTATTTTACTTTTCTGTTCTATACTGTTTTATAGATCATTCTCCAGCACTCATCCATGTTTAGTTTCTACTTTTTCTTGCTTCATTGTTAATCCATAAGCCATCCAATATTGTTCTAATTCATAGCTTATCACAACTTCAGGTACTTAGATGACTAGATTATCTGTTTTCCACTATGTATGGGCTGACAATAGTTAGAAATATAATATAAAAAACATTCATTTGTTTTCACTCTTCATGTAACAGTTAAGCTTTTGGAATCCTTTAATCATGACATATTATTAAAGCCTTTATAACCAAGTGGTTTAGAGTTTAATCATTCCTACTCCACTCTTTAAATAAGAAGTTTAATTTCGGTACAAGGTAGGTGAACCTTATGCATTATCTGTGCTCTCTTGTGTAAAGAGGCATGTGTCTTCATCTAACTGCTTAAACTTTTGGAATTGTTAGTTTATGACACTGATATTATCTATATTTGTGAAATTTCCATCGGTTCCTTTAATCTGCTTCTCTTGAAACAGAGCAACTACAACTTGATTTCTTTGTATCATGTATCACTATTCCTCTCCCACTTTATTTCATCCTTTAGTCATTTCATCTGCTAAGAGGTTAAGTCCATTCTTGCATCAGGGGTTAACTGGAGTACAGGGACTACACGTGGATTGGCAAACAGCACCTAGTGTCCCCAACTCTCACATTGTGAAGAAGATATTGCGCTTGGATATTGCTAATGATAGCTATCCAAATGTAAGAACTTATGTATAACTTTATAATGAATTTTGCTGTAACCTTATGCAGGTTCATACCATGTATTGTTCTAATACTTTTATGGTGTTCTTCTGAGCTTTGAGTTACTAAGCCTAGCTTAAATTTCAGTTCAATTTTGTTGGACGGCTTCTTGGCCCTAGGGGTAATTCATTAAAGCGAGTGGAGGCTACCACAGGTTGCCGTGTATATATAAGAGGAAAAGGTTCAATAAAAGAACTTGATAAGGTATCATCTCTTCCAAAGTGGATTTTCTTTCAAGTTGCAACTCCTCAGAACCTTATTTAATGTCATAGTTGCTTCTCCTTTCAATTTGTTGAAAGAGTTATGTTTTTTCCTGGCTACCTTTTAATCTTGACTGTCTACCTTTTATGATCTAAAGGAAGAGCTGTTAAGGGGAAGGCCAGGGTATGAGCACCTGAATGAGCCATTGCATGTTTTGATTGAGGCTGAATTACCTGTCAATGTTGTTGATATAAGGCTGAGGCAAGCACAAGAAATCATAGAAGAGCTACTTAAACCCATGGTATCTCTTTATAGTTTTAACTCTGATGCTGAAATCAGAATACTACTTACCAATGACATATTGTGGGTCTACTTTTCTCCCTAGACATTTTACACAAGGTGTTGTCAATTATTACATTGTTTTCCTTTAGTTAACTGGAAGCTTTTTATTGGGAAACTCCAACAGCTTTGGAGATTTTGGTAGTTACTCTGATTTAAAAATTAAGAAAAGCATTGTCAGGTTATCAGAAAACTGTTTTCCTTCCCACTCTTCTGCTGTTTCTTTACTTCACTATTCTTTTCTTCACAACACTTGAGATAATCAATTAACTAAAGTGTTTACTTTCTTTGATATGCTAATAAATTAGCTGCATCATGACAGAAAGTGGGTTTTCTATGGAGCAAAATGTTCCACGAGTCAAGTTGTAAATCACTAAGCAAACTGACTTTAAGGGTAAAGTCTTGTGTAAAAGTATTTCTCATTCTCCTCCATTTCATGCACAGGATGAGTCACAAGACCTCTACAAAAGGCAACAACTAAGAGAACTTGCTATGCTGAATTCCAATTTTAGAGAAGAGAGCCCTCAACTCAGTGGTAGTCCCTCTACATTCACCTCCAATGAAATAAAACGGGCCAAAACTGACCAATAGTGTTTTTACATTGCAAATTGTAGCATTTGATGTCAGTTCCTACATGTAAATTCTGTGAAGCAGCAATTGTGGGAGAGGGAGGTACATATTTATTGTCACAATCAATTGCATCAATACAGTTGTAAAACTAGGACAATTTCATTATTATATTTTGACCGGTTGATTGGTATATACATCTGTAATGTCCGTAAATACGACACTGCTGGGACTTATAAGCTGATTATTATTGTTGGTTCATGATTGCATGGAAAGAAGAGTTTGATATAAGAATGTGTACTTTACTGAGCACAATAACACCACGCTTTGTTATGAATTATGATGGCCATATCTTAAGGATAATGTCTAATGTTCGTAGGGCCACTGAGGTTAATGCTGACGTGGATGTTGTTGTCCGTAGCTCTACTGAGCCAAGCTAATCTTCTTTTGGCTTGACTAATTAACGCATGTCTTTGTAAAGTGGGACCATTCTAGATTTCTACAAGTCCATCATGGGGCCACCATGTCCCTAGCTATCACTAGATTCTCGATTTCTCTGCCAAACCCCATTTACACCTTATAAAGATGAGCTTAAAGTCTTATTTATAACTGAGAGGAGTTAGATAGTGTGTTTAGTCGAACATGTTAAATATGTGTTGTTAAATCAATATTTGGTTGATTTGAGTAGAGCTAATTTTTTATTAAAGAAGTTTCTGATTAAATTTTGTAGATGAAAAAAATATAATTAAGAAAAAAAATTATTAGAAGTTTTTGTTGATCAAGTTTTTCTCCAAAGAGTAGTGATCTAAAATAAAAATATTTACAAATATGATAGTTACTCGAAGAAAAGAATATCACTAGTATACTCTATAGCTAAATAGGCTCAATAATTAAGGTGAGTTGATGTATCATCATTATATTAGTATTCTCTTAGTTGTCCCTGACGATGACAGCATAATAATACACTGTATATCTAATTATCTGAATACGTACGCTAGCTACTTTATTTCTATGGATTTTATTTTATTTTAGTTGTTTCATAAATGAATTTATTATTTAAAAGAAAGACCAATAATTGAATTGAGGGCAATGTTATTAATTTAATTATGGTTGAGTCGTAATTAAATTGAATATATATATAAATAAATCAATAAGAAAACATAAAATGATAAAAGTTAAAAAATATTTTTAGTTGAATAAAAAATGAAAAACAAAAATTTAAGACAACTGGGTTAAACGTGTTTGTATGTTTGGTTTACATCATTTTCTTTTAGAAGTTCTTTTAAGAAGTTGAAAGAAAATAATTTCCTAAAATGTTGAACCAAACATGAGTAAATAAGTTGAACAATTTTTTTTTTATTCGTATTGACCTTCAAATTAACCACTTATGATTTCTATAGGAGAATTAATTATTTATATTAGATGGACATGTATATATCAAATTATTCAATCTTGTTGAACTCTTTACCAATTTTCTGATTAAATCAACCAGTCCATTTTTTTTACTATGACACAAATCATTGTGATTCTCAAACTAACTATACAAGTGACTCGTTGCTTCATCATAACTTTTGTCTAAAGCCAGCCAATGGAGCAATAAAATTCTAGTCATTGTTTTTTTTTTTTTCAATGAAAACCCAATCCTTACACTCGGCTTATATCAAGAGCAAAAATTGGATATAAAATAAGAATAATATATATTATTTTCTATTTGGTTGATATTTATATATTTTTTTCAATAAATATTTATAGGGAAAATAAAACAAAAAAAATTTCTCTTGTACACTAAAATTATCTTATGTATAAATTAAAATTATCTTATGAAAAAGGTGAATGAGAAAATTTTTACATAAATCACTTTCATTTATAAAAGAACCTTATTTCATTTTACAATATTATTTTCTTCTTTTATGTGTTTTTATTGATAAGTTTATTCAAACAAGAGTTAAATTAGGAAAGAGAAAAAAAAAGTGAAATCACGTAAAAGTTTTTTTTTTTTTTTCAAGTACAGGGAAACTTCATTTTTTTTAAAATATTATTACTATGTATCTGTTTAAGGGCATACTAATAATTTTCTCGTAATCTGAAGGTCGAACGAGAGCTCCGAACAAATATTCCGATAGAGGAAGGTACTTGCAGAAGACACTCTGACACTCAAGTCAGGACAAACACAAATATTGATAATAATAAATGAACATTAACTTTATCTCGAGATATAAACTATTTATACTGACATTAATGGACTTAATTTTCAATGGCCCAGTACCGAGGTTACCAAATTAGGTAATGCGCTTGGCAATTTACTATGTCTGTTGATTAGCTATTATCCACCAATTAAGGCTTACAGGGAGCCCAACCTCTTCACCTAATCGGTTATCGAAGGTGCCAAAAGGATTTCAGCTACCGAGAGTGTCAAAAGGGTTTCGGCTACCAAGGGTGTCGAATGGGTTTTGCCTACCGAGGGTGCCGAGTGGGTTTCGGCTACCGAGGGTGTCGAAGGAGGTTGCATGTCCTTGGAAGGTTTTCGGCCATTGGAGGTGCCAAATGCAACTAGGCCATCGGGGGGCCCGATCGAAATCGACTGCATTTATGCCGAGGGGTATGCCCGAAAGGCCTTCCTCGTACAATATATTTATTGAAATTCTCTTTTAATGCGAAACTCACTTGATTCTTCTCATTTTATTAATGATAAAAATGAATTATATCAATTACTCATTTTTTTATTTCATTGTTTTAAATTAAAAATAATCATAGAATAATTAGTAACAAGTGATACTGTACTTGAATCATTTAAGTAAGATTTCAAATTTGAATCATTGTAATCGTGGATAAAAAAATGTGGTTGGAAAAAAACCTAATGAAGATAACTACTCAAATTCTGTGATAAAAATTAGTCGTTGATAATATTAATTTATACTTATAATTATTAGTCATTTTACATTAATAACATCAACGTTTCTTTAACTTTTAGCTAACTTAGCCTTATTTGTAATTAAGTGGAATGTAATTACTATTACTTAATTATACCACTAATCCCTATTTGTCGGCTAACATTTGATTAGAAAGTGGATTTGGAGCAAGCCAAGTAAGAGGAGGCTTTTAAGATTTTGAGGCAAGTGAACCAAGTCTTTGTAATATAGGAAAAATACAGGTTGCCAAACCTCAAGAACTTGAAAAATAACTACGATTTCTCTTATCATTGCTAATACTTGTTTAAGTAAAATTTGCAATAACTTGAGTCATAAACTTTGCATACAACAAAAGTAATTCAAACACTAAGAAACACATAAAGATCCTTAAAACAAAGAAATATCAATATATTAAGTCGTTGGAATTAAGTTTCATAGATCTCACTCTTATGCATTCCTACAATTCTTTTATATCTAAATTCTGTTATTTGATACCCTTGAATTCATTAAGTTCATTCTACATCAATTCTTTGAATTTAGAAATTTTAAGAAGTCAAACTTAATAAATGATTTCTCACTTTATTAAGTCAAAGATCTTGTATTAAGAGTAAGAACTATTTCAATTGAAGTTCTAAATCTATTCCCAACCCTTGAAACTATTAGGTAATTTGATTCACAATTAGATTCATAAATTTTTTTTCCAACCAAAATCTTAATTAAGGATCAAAGATAAGTGATCAATTTATCTCAGCAATAAGAACATAATCAAAATTACTAATACTAAATAACAAATCATTATATATATGAATCAAAAGGACTACATAAGAGTTTCATGATTACATTTAATCTCAACTAAAAAAGAAGATCAGATCCTCATGATCAAGAAAACTAATCTATAAAGTATAGAGAATGTGTGTAGAAGAAGAAAGGGAACCCTTAGAACCCCTGTTCCCATTTGGCTTTTAGACCTCAGACACGTTCTTCAACTCTATTGATTTGTTCTCTACGTTCTTTATTTTCTCCCTTTTGTTTCCCCCTCAAAATTTTTATATATGTGTTGAAAATTAAAAGAAAGCATGGAGGAGAAAGAGGGAACCACTTAGCCCTTTGAAAACGGTTGAGCGATTGAGAGAATGCTTCAAAATGAAGTAACTCCAAGAGCTGAGCCCTTATGAAACCGTTGAGTGCCTTGGACCTCGTATCTGAAATGCACCCCTAGGATAAATCCGCTTAGCCCTTTCCAACGACTAAGTTATTTGGCCCCCTTGCTCCAAAGATGCTTGCGGCCATGAAAGCACTCAACCCTTTTCAAAGGGCTGAGCCATTTGACTCTTGAGTTCTTCAAACTCTTAACTTCCAAGGCTTGAAAATAAGGAACAAAGATCTCTAATGAAAACCATCAAGTCCCAACAAAATAGCTTAATCACAATACAATAAGTGTTACAACCAAGATGAATAAAATTAGGGGATAAGTTGAAGATTTTTTGTTAAAACCAAGATGAATAAGTGTTGAGTTAAACATGATATTCAAGTAAAATCCACACTTATCAAGGGCACATGAAAGTGAAAAATAAAGATTTTTGAAGACCATCTTGAAGATTCTACGGCGTCGAATGTCACTTTACACACGTTCGACACAATTTTGGCAATAAGTCTCTATCTTGTTTGCGTTGAGTGCCACTCTACTCATGCTTAGCATGATTTTGGCAAAATGATCCTTTTCTTATTTGCATGCTTGTGCTCAACGCGAGTTAGCCTATGACGACACCATTTTAATTACATGACATATTTAGTTCATTTTATATTTTTCTTTAAGACTTTGGACATCATTTCATCAAGGATGAGTTTAAGGTCTTCTAAGGACTGTTAGGACTTCCTTCATCACTTTGAAGCTTCTCCTTACCTCACAACCTTCCATGAATTAGTTGTTGACAAAATCAATGAATATTTCACACCAATATTATAATGATAATATATAAATAAAAATAGAGAACAACTCAACTTTTCATTTTTATACTACTTTCTTCTATAAGTATAGAGAACTTAAGTAGGGAGAAGAAACTAACAAACATGAAGGAACTTCTTACCCTAAATCATAAACATTGATATTTTGGAGATTTAGAAGGAGGAGCACAAATATTTAAATAAAAATTATTAAAAAATTAAATTAAAAAGTTGTTATAAGCTAAATTAACAACTAAGTATTATTTAAGTAAAAAAATAACTAAGCATTTTTTTTTTGGGTTTATGGTCATGATTTTAAAGTTGACAATTAAAAATTTAATTTATACTTGTGAGTTATTAAATGACATGAAAAAAAATACATATTTTTATATATTATTGAATAATAAGTGAGAGGACATTGAAACATGTTAACTATACCATGTATAAAAGGAAAAAAGAAAAACCATTATACATGTATCAGTAGGGATGAGAATAAATCAGGTTAGATCATACTTTAAATATATAGGTTGAACTTGTTCTACAAAAGTAAAGCCTAAGGCTGACCTATTATCTATCATAGATTTTTTTTAGATTTGACCTAACCTTTTTAAAGTTTGGTATGACCTATTAGCCTATTTAAAAGTCTATTTATATTAATAATATTAATTAGACTAATAAACTTAATTTTTAAAAAACCAATTTTTTTTAAAAAAATATAATTTATTCAATATTATTAAAATTTAAAAATTTAAAAGAAATATAGGAAAAAAGTGATCATTTTCTGTTAAAAGGACAATTCATGTGTAACTATGTATATTGATATACACTCACGCATATATCGTGAGAAATCATAAGCTTATAAACCTATAATTTAAAAAAAAATAATTATATAAAAAATATTTTAAATATTGATAATTTATTTTTATTTTATAAATTTATTTGTTTATTTATATTTTAATAATATATGTATATTAATT